CAATAAATTGACCTGCGTACTTACCATACTTGGTTTTGTTTTTGTCTATCGTCAGTGGAAGAAAGTTGAGTGAGTTCTACAAGAGCAAGAAAGCTTTTGCGTATCTTGCAATCAAGAGCAGGCTGACTTGGCCCCTTAGCCAGTTGAAGTCTGCCCACTAACCCAATCCGTCAATGAAAGATATAAAGGGCCCACTTAGCACCAAGTTGACAGCTGTGAATAGATTTTGTTCTGCTGCTCCTGTACTTTTTGGAATTTTCCAATAAGTCCACAGGGTACTCAAAATTACTCTTTGATATCATAATTGTCGTATAATATAATATATTTAAGTTATAATCGCTTACGGTTCAACGAGATTATTTGAGATCGATCTAATTTGATTAAGTCATGACTCAATTTAGTCAATTGGAGTTGATCTAAAACATTTAAGATATTTTTTAATAAGTCCTAACGTTTTCGATCATTATGGTGTCATAACTTTAACATGATCTAATATTAATTTTTTAATTCTTTTGTTACAGTGCTAAAATTCCACAACATAGAATTTTCCATCAAACATTGGGCTTTCTATGTTATCCTAGGTTTGAATATGTCACTTTCGTGTTCAACCTAATTTTATTTGAATTTTTTATAGCAGCCTTTGAACTGTACAAGAGATGGATGAAAATAATGGTCGAAGAAATGCACCAGTGAAATGTTCATTGGCATATTGAGCATGAAATTATTCTTTTTTATACATCTCTCTCTAGGGTTTGATAATCGAGTCGAATCTGTCGAACTCGTTTTTTTAAACGAATCTAAAAATTGTTCAAGCCTAATTATTTAGAAAATGAGTCAAGTCTGAGTAACTCAACTATTTTACATATAAACTATCCAGAGCCTTGCAAGCTCGAGTTGAATCTTTTAGGCTCGTTTCAAAAATTGACCTAAAAAATTGTTCAAATTTAATTCATTTAGAACACGAATCGAGTTATATCTGAAAAATAACTCAACTAGCTCGACTTAATTATCAGTCCTATCCCTCTCTTACCCAAAAAAAACAAAGAAAAAACCATATCGGAGAAAAAAATAATCTCATATCTATACTATATGAGGGAAAAATGAGATGCAAAGAGAAAGGTAAATGGCAGGGTGAGATACGGACTAAGTCGTTCTCTTAGAACGATTCGCACCTTTTTATGAAAGAATCACATCGCATATGAGAGTCTCAAAGTCTTACTTTTATTCAAATGCTAGATAATATTACCATATATATATAGATATATATACTCAATTACTTTTAGATATTTAGTTGAAGTAAGATTGAGTTCTCACACATAAAAAATATTCTTTTAGATAAAATACTCTAACACTATATATTAATGGAAATGTATGAGTGACTTTTTTGCGTCCATTATTGGCTTTTTATTCCTTTTTGTGACATTTTCACTTTTTAACTGAAAAAGATAATAATTTTTTTTTGATTACTTTAATTTTCACGACTCTAGCAACTTAAAACTTCTAATATCATTATTCTAAATTAATTACACTGAAAAGATCAATATACGCAAAATTGTATTGAGTGTCGAGTCAAGAACACTAAAAAAATTTTTGAAGGAGACTTTTGTGAATGAGGTTATGGCATGAATACAGATAAAAGGCAAAGGATATGCTATTTCATTGTCATCAAAGCAAATGAGGGGTTATTAGATTGCCAAACCTCCATTACCTAAAAGTGTTCATTACTTGCTTTCCAGATTATTTCTAACCTTTTTTCAAAAATGTTTCTTCCAAATTTTACAAAATAAATAATCTATGTTTTGCTAATGATTTTTTCAAGTCAAAAAATATTTTTGTCAGCAAATGAAAACGTATTTGATTATTACATAACAAAATTAGTCTATATGCGTCTAGCTAGGTAAATAATACACTTATATCCAATAATTCATACTTGAACTACTATATTTTCGATAATATGTAGAGGAAAAAAACGTATATGTACAAATAAGTAAAACACTAAAAACTTTAAAAGTACAAAACAAATGATATACTTAAAACAATAACTTTTGCAAATTTGAAAAATTGAACTCACCTAATTAAAACTTAAAAAAATGAATTTATTTTCCCAATAATTAGGTCTGGAAGGGGTTGATCAGGTATAAACATAAAATTAGATATTATTTATACAAAATAATTACTCTCAAATTCTGACCCACGATCTCGAAATCATTGGGCAAAATTCTAACTGTTAAATCATTGGTCTCTTAAAAATGGAAATTCCAAATATAGCAGAGAGCACATTAACATCTTTGGTAGTAAAAGAATCCAATTAAAACAAAATAAAATAGCAAAAAAATATATGGTAATAACAATCCAATGAATTTTCTACATGCAAAAAAACATATTCTAGTGGGATAAAAGAAACTATGCCCCATAATAAAGGGGTACTAGAGCAAAAACCACCCCCACCCGCAAATATTATACATGTAACCCTCAAATTGTAATCTTTATGTAAATTAAGTCTTTAAACTTTTTTTTATGTCAATTGAATTTTTATGTTTGCCTCTGTTAGAGTGTGATACTTACATGATTATATGACACAAAAAAGACAAAAGAGCCCAATTAACACAATTAGAGAGTTTAAGAACTCAGTTGAAAAAAAAAGAGTTTAGGACTTAATTGACACAAGCTTATAGTTTAAATGTCATATGTATAATTTACTCTAATCATTTGTGTCACGTGAGTAACATATTTCGTCACTTTCCGATAAAAAATCTAACGGAGGCAGATAGAAGGGTTCAATTGATGCAATCAGAGAGTTCATGATAGTGTTATCAGAATCTACGTGACTCGTGACTCGGGGCATTAACCGATCTAGTTCTCTAATTTGACCGCAAAGGAGAAAACCATCTAAAAATTGGAAAAGTGACTGATTTTTATAAAAACCCATGAATCGGCGATTTTTATAAAAATCAACCGGTTCGAAAACAAATAAAATAAAGGGTTAATCTCATTTTGCACCTCGAAAGATTGTTCGAATCTCAATTTGCACCCTCAAAGATAAAAAATCTCAATTTACACCCTCAAAGATAGAAATTTGTATCAATGTGCACCCCCAAAGATCAAAAATCTCAATTTGCACCCTCAAAGATAGAAATTTATATCAATGTGCACCCCAAAGATAAAAAATTTTAATTTGCACCCTCAAAGATAGAAATTTGTATCAATGTGCACCTAAAAAGTAAATTGATAAATTATACCTAGATCCCCTCATACTTGTCACTTAATCATTTAGACCTCTTCACATTTAGAATATTACTCCTACATCTTATGACATTTGTGCACGTATAACATGTAACCCATTTTTATTGATATCTATTAATATAACCGTTAAAAAATATAATTTTATCCTAATAAAAAATTATAATTTCATATTACCCTTTATTTTATGGGTTTAATATATTCTAAAGTTTAAAATCTAGTTTACCATTTGAATGTCTAATAAAATGTAAATATTTATATAATATTTTTCATATTACCTTTTATATAAATATCTACATTTTATTAGACATTCAAATGGTAAGCTTGATTTTTAACTTTAGAGTATATCGAATCCACAAAATAAAAGGTAATATGAAATTATAATTTTTTATTAGGATAAAATCATATTTTTAATGATTATATTAACAGATATCAACGAAAAGTGGTTATGAGTTACACATGCACAAACGTCATGAGATGTAAGGGGAATATTCTAAATGTGAAAGAGTTCAAATGATTAAGTGACAAACATGAGGGGATCTAGGTATAATTTATCAATTTAATTTTAGGTGCACATTGATACAAATTTCTATCTTTGAGGGTGTAAATTGAGATTTTTTATCTTTGGGGATGCACATTGATACAAATTTCTATCTTTGAGGGTATAAATTGAGACTTTTGATCTTTGGGGGTACAAATTGAGATTTGAATAATCTTTTAGGGTGCAAAATGAGATTAACCCTAAAATAAATTACTTAAATTTTACAATTTTTTTTATTTGGGCCATTTCTTTTGCGCTAAATCGCAGAAGCCACCACTCGGTCCACTCCACTCTAGGCGACCAACGAGCAGTAACCAACAAGGCGAGGCGAGGAACTCATTGCGACTAGGTGAGGCGAGGAACATAGGCGAGGTGACTGTGACCGGCGAGGAACTCAGGCGATCTCTCTCCCCGGATCTTTGCTGTCATCTCCTTCCTTTTTCCTGCTTCTATCAGATCAGACTGTAACATTATGTTAAAAACTTCCTACAGCTAATATATGCATCCTGGGCTAGATCAAATACCCTTTCCTGCAATCTCACTTTTATCAAGCAATTTGATTGTGTAACTACAGAGAGAATGTGTGTCATGCTCTTATTTATTTTTTAATCAGTAGTCGCAAATTATATAAATCAAAATCATGTACTAGAAATGAATTTCAGTATAAATTGTGGTTTGTGGTTTGAACTTGGAGCGGTTGTTCTGTTATATATTTGGATTGGAATTTTAAAGTTGAACTTTGATTTTGATATATGACATACGTGTTTCTTTATTTGACTTCAAAATTTTTTGGCAAATTGTATGTATTTTAGATAATTATTATATATATTTTTTTTATTTTTTTATTATATGACCGATTCGACCAGTAGACCTAACGGTTAAACTAATAAACTATTGACTCGGTTCTCTTGCCGGTTCGATGACCGGTCCAGTTCTGATAACATTGATTCATGAGTTCAATTGATACAAAAAAAAGTTAAGAGTTTAATTGACACAAAATTCATAATTTGAGGGTTACATGTGTAATTTATTCAATATTATAAGTCAAAGTAATGTTCAAATAATTCAGGCATCGTATATTTCAGTGGAGATTCGAATCTACGCATCCGATTCCGAACATTCCGACCCCAAAGCGAATCCAATGGCTGCAAATTCCTCAAGGCCAGCCACCAAAATTTTATTCAGGCATCATACCAGTATCAACTAACGCACACCTCTCTCTCTCTCTCTCTCTCTCTCTCTCCTCTTATAACAGAAATCAACCATTTAGCCAACATCCTGTGTGTCTCTCTGCATCTCCTTCTGCTTCCTCAACTTTCTATCTCCTGCCTGAAAACCTACTGACTGGTTGCTCTAGGAATTTCAGTTCTTGGGTTTTTGAAGATTTTCGGTGGTTAGGTGATAAAGACATTTGTAAGTTCCTATAACAATACGTATTGGGACACCTTTCTTTACAGGCCTCTTCTTCTTCCTTCACATCATCTTTCTTTCTCTTGCCGGGAAACCCCAAAAAATCTCTCTACAAGTCTCTGTCTTTTCCTTCCTAACTTTCTCTCTCCTCCAGGAAAACCCATTTTCCGATTGTTCGTGAGGAATCTAATTTGAGGGTCTTCCTGGGTTTTTGGAGTTTTTTGGTAGGTTGGTGTTAAATATATTCGATTATATCTATATATACAATTGTTTGAATTGTATATGTAAGTATGGTAATGACGGTGGCGTCGCAGAGGAAATCGATAAACAAGGTGTTTGAGAGGGTTGGGGTTTATGGGTTCGGAGGGAGGAGCCAGAAGAGGTGCAAGTATGAGATTCAGGACGAAGATGGGACGATGGAAATGGTGCAGATTGGTGCTGAGAGGACCAAAAATGTGCTCATCTTGATGAGTGATACTGGTGGTGGTCATCGAGCTTCCGCTGAAGCTATTCGGGATGCTTTCAAACTGGAGCTTGGGGATGAATACAGGGTAATTCTCTCTCTCTCTCTCTCTCTCCAGGGCTCTATTTGCTTTGAATTCTGGACTCATGCATGCATGTGTCTCTGTGTATGTGTGTGTGCACATATGTAGCAGTGTTCTGGTCTGTCATGTTCATTTGATTTCGATGTTGAAGTGTTTCAAGCCAAGGGTTTGTGGTTATAGAGCTTAACCCATCAAAGCTCCGAAGAGCTTAAGTGCTCAGGAAAATAAAATTTACCTTTCTGGGTTCTGTAACTTCGTTTAATCAAAGGTTCTTTTCTGGATTATTTTGTGTTCTGCTCTTGTATCATTTTGAAGTAAACACAACATTTGGCCTTTGATTCTGTAGTTTTCGATGTCTTGATATTATAATTTAGGTTTTATTTTGGTAAGTAATATTTCCGTTATTCATTGCCCTTTATTTTCTGGACATTCTTAACCAGTCATCTCTCTCTCTCTCTCTCTCTGTGGTGATGATGTGGTTTTATTCTGTTCCCTTTTCAAATGTCCTGTCCTTATGATTGCAACCACGATTTCGCTAATTTTTTGCTCTTTTGGAGAAGATAAAGAGGCATGATTCTCTGATCCTTTTTGATGTTTTCCCTTAAATTTCTCCGCAAGTAATGGCTATTGGTTTTTCCAATTTCCATGTTTTATTTCTCTTGCTTAAAGTCTTTAGCAGGTACTTATGAATTTCTGAATTCTCTCGAATTTTCAAATATAATGCTCCATCTTAGTCCAGGCTTACAAGTTACGAGCCATTGATCCATATATCAGAAGGGGCTTTAATCAGTCGTAGATCACACAAGTTTGACTAATCTAAGTAACTTATTGCTGTGATCCTGTTTTTTCATGTGTTTTTGTCTTCTATTTGCAGATTATCATCAAGGATGTTTGGAAGGAGTACACTGGCTGGCCACTGAACAACATGGAGCGGCAGTATAAGTTTATGGTTAAACATGTACAGCTTTGGAACGTCGCGTTTCACAGTACTTCTCCTCGATGGATACACTCTCTTTATCTTGCTGCCATTGCCGCCTACTATGCCAAGTATATATTCTTCTTCCCACATCACCTCCATTCTAAAACTTACAGATATTTTTGGTACTGTTTAAGCCGGCAAGTTGTTCACTTTATATTCTTTGATTGTTTAGTTTGGTACTTTGGTCACCACCATAATGTACTGAAGATCTACTGTATTACAAAATTATCTGTATTCTAATGGATTCAATATTATATGAATGTCACTTTTGACTGTGCTTTTGATTGTTTTCTTAAAAACGATTCTGTCAATTTGCATTTGTCACTTAATCAATTGGTTAGGAGTTAAATATAATTGCTGGCACTGTTTGCTTTTCCTCTATACGTGCAATTCAATTATTGTTCTTGCTAGGAACTTTATTGGTTTCGAGTTTTATGTTAATTGAAGTCAATCGTAGTTGGACATGCTTTTACTTTTTGAAGTTTTCTAATATTTGTCGCATTATTTGGCTGAAGGGAGGTTGAGGCTGGTCTAATGGAGTACAAGCCGGACATTATCATCAGTGTCCATCCTCTAATGCAACATATCCCTTTGTGGGTTCTAAAATGGCAAGGCCTACAGAAAAAAGTGATTTTCGTCACAGTCATTACAGACCTCAATACCTGCCATCGCACCTGGTCAGTTTAATAACTCATTTTTCGAACTCCATTTCATCTTTTTCAATTAACATTTATGATTATTACAACCTTGTAAACCATTTCTGTATCCAGGTTTCACCCAGGGGTTAATCGATGTTACTGCCCTTCGGAGGAGGTAGCAAAGAGGGCTTTGCTAGATGGCCTGGAAGAATCGCAAGTACGTGTTTTCGGCTTGCCAATCCGGCCTTCTTTTTGCCGTGCAGTTCTCTCAAAGGTGAATGCTTGGCACTAAGTGTAGCAGAACAACATACTTTTATCTGATTTTGAGTTCATAATTTTCTTGCAGTGGATTGAATTTTGATTTTTTTGGTTGCTTTGGTATGTGCTTTAATCTCATTGTAGGATGATTTAAGAGTAGAACTTGAGATGGATCCAACATTGCCAGCAGTTTTGCTGATGGGAGGTGGTGAAGGAATGGGCCCTGTGAAGAAAACTGCAAAGGCTCTTGGAGAATCTCTGTTTGATGAAGAACTTGGAAAACCTATTGGGCAGTTGATTATCATATGTGGTCGAAATAAAGCCCTGGCCTCTACGCTAGAATTGCTTGAATGGAAAATCCCGGTTAAGGTAATCACAAATGCTTCTTTTTTTGCATGATGAATTGCGCTTTTACCTGATTGGGTTAAGTTAAACTTGTGTTTTCATTGAAGGTTAGAGGGTTTGAGACGCAGATGGAGAAGTGGATGGGTGCTTGTGACTGCATTATCACAAAAGTATGTTAAGACATTGTGATCTTGATATTCCCTTTTAGGCCTCTTCATTGTTGATCAATGGGTGCTTGTGATTGCATTAGTTTTTCTGAAAATGATCGTCAAGCTTCTTGAATTAATGTCTTCTTTGGGTTTTTGGATTTTGTAGGCTGGACCTGGAACAATTGCAGAGGCATTGATCAGAGGACTTCCAATTATTCTGAATGACTTCATTCCTGGACAAGTAAGTGCTTCTGATTTCTAATTTCTTGCTACAATTAGTGGTGTTAATTAAACCAAGTTTGTCGAGCATGAGTGCTCATGCACGATTGAGCTATGACTGGTTGAGCTCGAGACGAGTTCTGCGAGCTTAGATTTTTTGACAAAAGAGAGAGAGAAGTGTATATAGTGTGAAGTTATTTAGGAATCAGCCAAGTCAAGCCTAATCAAATAGAGTCGCGTGCGTGTTGATTGGATTCAGCTTGTTTACCGAACTGCAATGATTTAGAAACTGATCAGATTGGTTTCATTTTGCAATTGGAACAATTCTAAATGAAGCAAAACTGACCCGAGGTCAAACTAGTCAAATCGTTTGCAATTCTAGTGTACTTTCTTGCAAGACTGCGTCAACTTATCAACTGATTTTTCCTCCACTTGTCTTTCACAGGAAAAGGGGAATGTTCCTTATGTTGTGGACAATGGGGCTGGAGTTTTCACCCGAAGCGCCAAGGAAACAGCCAGAATCGTGGCCGAATGGTTCAGCATGAAAACGGACGAACTCCGGAGAATGTCGGAAAATGCAAAGAAACTAGCACAACCAAATGCAGTGTTCGACATCGTGAAGGACATTCATGAACTTGCATGCCAACGAGGGCCCTTAGCCAACATTCCTTACATGTTGACATCTTCGTTTTCAAGCTTAATTTAACCACATTAAATGTTGCATTCGAGGACTAAGGTTTGGGACAGCTGAGCCCCAAGGGGTAGCCGGCTGTAGGCGGCTAGGAGCTCTGGCCTAGAATGAAACTAAAGCTTCACACTGGTCAAGTCAGAGTCTCGGACTAGGATGCCATGTACATGTAGCTTTGCTGATAGCATTCTTTGGCCTCAGAGGCTTGGAGTCCATGTCAAGTTTAGACAAGCTCTGATCCTTTGGTTATTTGAAAACAAGAAGAAGAAAAACTACAATTCTGATGTTTGTTGAATTGGGAATTTTTCCTTTTTTCTTGTTTTCTTTCTGGGAAAAAGAAAATTATGATGTATTTCTAGTTTTCTATGTTAGCAATGGCAAAACCATATTTTCTCCCTCAAGTGTCCTTAATTTGTTGCTTATTTGTTTTTTGGTCTTTCCTGAGATTAAAATTTCTTGTCCATGGTGGTTCTTCCTGCTGATATTTTAAAGATTACTTGTCTTAAATGACATCTTTTATAGGGTTGCTTCAAATAAAGAGATTACTTGGTTCATCAAGCAAAGGTTCAACCTACAAAAGTGACATACATGCATTGGTTTAGAATGCAGAAAGTCAAAGTGTGGCACTATCTGTTTACCTTTGTACTTCTAAGACTTACCTTCTGAGCTGGATTTGCCGACTTTTAATGGATAAACACAGTGTAGGATCTAATAAAAGACAATTTTTTTATTAATTTAATCGAAGGGATTTAAGTTACAAAAAAGATTGATTAACATCCTTGAATGTGGTAGCAACTAACTCTTAAAATTAACTTAAAACTACTCCTAAAAATTCTCAGATCACGTGTCTTGTATGGGTTTGAATGAATTGTTTATCTTTTCCACTACGTGCCTTTTATAGTCATTGTCCTCGATGATTTTGCCTTCATCAACGATTATTTGACTTGATAAACTCTAATTAATTATTTTTTATTTTCAAATATGATTGTGACTGATCATCTCCGCCTTTCTTCAAATTTGCTAAATGCCAATACATTCAACATTCTTAGAATTTTATATATTAAGTCCAAACAAAATCTATTTGTGGAAGTTATTGTCATTGAGAAAGGCATCCTTTTTTTAAAAATAATAAATAAAAAAAAAAAACAGCCTTAGTCTGATCAAACCTTTGCCTACCAAGTGGTTACAAATTGTGGCAATCTAGCTATTGTTGTTTAGTAGGCATTTGGATCTACATATCAAAGGTTAATTCGTATGGTAACACTGATATTCTTAATATCTCGAGATTTTAAGTTTGAATCTTACAAAAAATATTTAAATTGTATTGATACACATGAATTGTGTCGTTGCTGATGATTGTGTGTATCCCTACGTTACGTATTAATCACGAGTCTAAAAAATATATTGTCCGAATGATTCTTGGCTATGAAAATAAAATAAAATTGGTCACATGTGATGTGATCTTGTGCATTTGGTATTTATACAGGAAGTTCTTGACCCTTCAATGCCAAAATGCTACCAGCTGAAGTCAAGATTAGGGGGTGGGGGGGGATGTAGAGGCAGTGAGTTTGAAGTTACAAAGGGTGACTCATTGTGTGTTTTGTCATTTTTTGCAAAAACAAAATGGATGTTGCTTTCGATAGGCTTATCATATGGGAAGAGGACACTGACAAATGGCAGGAGGAGGAAAAATATATAATTTTGCTAATCCTGGGGGCCACCACTTGGCATTATTCAAGTCTTTGTTTGTGTCAGTTACACCTTTTTGTCTCTGGCACTTTCATAATTAGACAATACATCTCCCTAATGAAATTAATATTATGCCATAGTTTTTTTTTTAAAAACATAAAAAGACACGACAAATTGTCAGGCGAAGATTTTGATTTCAACAAAGCTTTTCGTTGGTATTGATTTTACCTAATTAATTTTGTGATAGCCCAAAAACACCTTGACGTGAGAAATAGTGTTGCTTGGGAGTTGTACAACACAGCGGAAGATTTGAATTTAAACTTGATAACGCATATCAACGTGGATGAGCTTGAGGTGAAATTGATGTAAGACGAGCGTTGATTAGAACTACGAGGCTCATGTATGATGCTACAATAAAATATTGAGGGGATTAAAGGGGCACACATAGTGAAAATATAGTGATTCACCGGCTCAGGAGCTCGACTAATCCACTCTTCATTGTAAGTTCTTGCTCCTTTTGTTTTATTTACGATGATTACAAGGTTGCTATGACTTCTTTTTGCCACTAGAGTTCCCCCTTTTGTTAGGGGGTGTTGCATTCCATTTATAAGGTCATTCCCTGCTAAGAAAGATCTTAGCCGAGATTATTACCCTTATTTCGTGAGTTTCTTCTTAATTCTAGGAAAAGATCTTGGTTGATTGAGATTGGGTACTTCATAACGCTTTAGGATCCTCTCGTGGTTATGCAGCTGTTATCTTGCCTTAAGAGACACTCGACCTTTACCCTATGACCTCTGGAATTTAGCACTTGAATTTTATTTTAGGTATCATCAAAACTCAATTAAAATTTCAAACACTTGACGTGAAGTCTAATCAGCCTTCCATGTTAGTCGTCATGTCATTTGATTATTTTTTTGTATCCCTAATTTTGATTAGTGTAGCATTATTGTATATGAATTATTTGAAAAACATGAATGTAATCAATCTGAATAGCACAATTAAGTTGAATTCCTGTAAACTATATTTGCACCTCGACTGAATTTCATTTGATACTCATTCAATTTTCTAATGTCTTTATACACAAATATATGCAATTCGAATAAGACCACAACTGGATCGAATATTGACCTATTACATTTCAATTCGTAAAATAAGATATAATAGATTCGAATTTAAATAGTCTGAGAAAAAATTATCAATCTATATTCAATTAAACGGATTCAGCTTTATATTAAATTCAAATCAAAATGTGATCTATTGATAGACCAAGTTGGATGTTGAAATGGACCTTCAAAAAAATGAGAAATATGGAAGTCGGTGCAAAAATTTGGACTTAATTGAGCTAAACTACATTAAGAAAACTTATTTGGCTCTAAATACATTTTTTTTTGAAAAAAAAAGACTAAAAAAATCATTTATTACTCTGTTATTGTCTCTCTCTCTCTCTATTACTCTCTTTTCTCTATTTTATTTCTATCTCTTACTCTCTCTACGTATCCCTTCTTTTTTTTTTCTCTCTCTCTCATTTATAATTTATTTATTTTTAAATATGTAAAGATTTGATTTAATTTTTTCATCTCTCTCCCATATGTTTTCTTTTTCTTTCACTCTCTCTCCCATATTTTATCTTACCGTTACTTTTTAACTCCTTATTTTCTCTTTCCTTATATCAATGTTACAATAAATATAATTACATCAATCAGTTATAGTTATCCTATAATACATCAAACAATTATTTATGTGTGTTAATAAACTAAACAGTTGCACTAAAAAATTACACAAAATTAAAATACCAACTCAATGTGTCATTCAGTGTTTACATAAATCAAAGAGTTACACCATTTATTATCACGATATAATTACATCAATTATATATACCAAATTGGATTTATCATTACACAAAAGGGTTTACAATTAGACCAAATTTGGTATATATATTTGGTGTAACCATATTGTAATATTAAATGATACAACTTTTTAGTTTATATAAACAACTGAATTTCAAATTGAGTTAGTGTCATAATTTTGTGTAATTATTTTATGTAGCAGTTTAGTTTATTATAATATGTGAGTAATTGTTTGATATATTTATAGAGTAATTGTAACTGAATGGTATAATTGATTAGTGTAACTGTGTTGTTGTAATGTTAATATAAAGAGGAAGATAAAATAAGGAGAGAGAGCAACAACGAAGGAAAATAGAGGAGAGAGAGAGAAAATAAGGGACAAAAAGATAACAAAATCAAATATTTAAATATTTGGTAAGAAAATAGATAGAGAGAGAAAATAAGGGAAGAGATAGAGAGAGAAACAGAAAAAGAGAGAGATATAAAGAAAATAGGAGAGAAATAGTGAGAGAATAATGGAGAGTGAGGGAGAGAAAAAGAATGATGGAAAGAGTAATTTTATTTGAATATAATTTGTTGGCATAATGATATAATTTTAATAGAATTATTATATCAACATCAAGTTTCAATATCTGATGACCCTACAGTCAATCAAAAATATTAATAAATTAAATTTCAATAACATTGCTCCTAAAAAAAATATACCCACGTCCAAAAAAAACCCCAAAAAATCTAGTCAAAGACCTGCTCAATCTAGTGGACATGTCCAACATCCTTTCAAGGCTGGCCCATTTCCCATCTCACAAGAAGTTCCATGGTTTAAAGGCGCATTTCCCTCTTAGGTTGAAACGACGTCGTCCTAATCGATGGTACTATTTTCGCATGAAAACAAAGCAAGCTCCAATCTTGATCCGCAGTGGAAGCCATACCAATTTGCCGATCAGAAAAAGAAAAAAAAAAACTGAATAGAGAAAGCGAAAACCATTCGTATCTGCTCCTGTCAAGAATGGTAAGGGTGTTAAGATCTCTTCATTAAAGAGCCTCTGGTAGGTTTCTATTTTCACTTTCTTTATTTTTTTTTTTGAACTTTTTTGGTCAACTCAAGCGTGTCATATGGATGAAGAGGGCCATAATAGTTGAACCAGTTCTGTCGTGTGTGTTGGGTTTGGGGGATGGGGAAGAGGGGAGGTCACCTTTTTGTAATTCCACAATTTGGTGAAATATTTTTGTATTTTAGTACATATATGGAATTATCCAATTCATTGGAAGTTATTCTGTTTCAGCTTAGATATAGACCCAATCGCTTGGTGATGAAGTCATTAAGAGCTGTGTTTTCAAATGTTTGGCTATGGAGGAAAACAGAGTTTTTCCCTCGTGGGTGTTGAATAACTTGAGTTTTTCATCTTTTTCTTTTTCTTTTTTTCCATCTGAAATGGTTGAAAGCTATTGCAATGCTGTGTTTTCAAATGTTTGTACTCCACTTTTTATGCAGTTAATTTTGGAATTTGTTATTATTTATATGCTTATGAAGGGACCTAAAAGCTCTTCAGTTTAAATTGTGTCTCCAGGAAAATCAATCATCCTTTTACATTGACACTTATTAGGAGATGTTTATGATTCAGGTTTATCACTCTAGTTTTGTTGATGAGGAAGGAATTACTAAAGCTTGTGGGTGCCCTTTACTTCCTTTGAAAAGCCATATAAAGGGCCCTGCTCCGGTTTCTGAACAAGGTCAGATTTGCATTGTTGTTTACATATTTTCAGTTCAGGCAGTGGTTTCCTTTTCTAATTTGCAACTATTGTACAAAATTATATGCAGATAGAACTGATATTGTGGATGAAGCAATCACATTCTTTCGGGCCAATGTTTTTTTCCGAAACTTTGATGTAAAAAGCTCAGCTGATAAGCTTCTAATCTATTTGACATTATATATCAATGTGGCATTGAAGAGGCTTGAGGGCTGCAGAACTTTGGCAGAAGGAACCAAAGCAATTATTAACTTGGGTTTGGAAAAGGTTCCTGTTCCTGGAGAGTCTGGCTTTCCATTTCCGGGCCTTTTTAGCCCACCACAATCTCAACAACAAGCAGGTAAATTTCATTCTATCTTTGTTTCTTGTATTATTTAGTTAGTACCCTTTTCTACAGCGTGGAGAATTGAGATTTATTTAGGAGCATTTCCAAGTTACATTCTTCACTTCTGGTTGTATTAATCTTATCCTGTGACTGTTTTTCTATAACTGGGAATACTTTTTTTGAGCTATTGTTTTTGTACTTTTTAAATTTGAATGATTCAGAAGGAAATTCATATTGTAGTATCATCCTAGTTTTGATGCAATAGTAAAGTTGCTCCATTCAAACATGAGCGTCAAGGGTTATAGTTTTGTGGACAACCTTTCCAATTCATCCTATATTTGGCTGGATAGTATCAATATATGTGTTATCCATGTCAATATGAACAGTTTCAGATTTTAAGATATATCGAATCTACGGAAATAGCAGCTCCCTTTTTTCAAGAAAAACAGAGGGGGAATTGATGCTTAGAATGCCAGTATTGCCAATTGCTTGAATAAGGTATTACTTTGAATATAAATAGTTTTCTTAATTTTCAGGTTAAATAAAATTTTGTTCGAGATTAAGAACTACAGTCTGGATTTTTAAATGTAATTATCTGATCATCTTCGTGCCAGCTTAGTTTCCACACTTTGCTTGTTATGTGTTTCCACACACAAAATCCCTATGTTCTTAAGGTGTTCAACTCCTCATGGCAGCTATAGGTTTGTCATAAAGGGTAGATCAGGTTATACCTTTAGTGTTGTACTCGGAACCATTAAAAGGTTAACATATAAAGGTTCACCAGCACTGTTCTGGAATTCCATGTCAAAAGTGTCTTTCCTGTCAGATAATTGGCTCCCAGCCATGAGAAAGGGGGGTAATTTACCATCTTACTAGTTGTAAGCCCTTGGCCTACTATTACCATAAAATTTTTGTAGCTCGATGATTTGATGTTATGGAAATAATTATTGGTCCATTGAAAGATTTAGGTAATGCATCAACTACGGCTAGGGGAAATTAGGTTTTTGTTGAGGTTGCGGTGTTCATGGCAATGCAATGGCAGATGTTGAAAATGGCGTTATCAGCAAAGATGTTTGCAGATGCTCATGGCCTTTTCTTGATGCTAATATCATTTTCATGTGTGGGTTACACTAGGTTTCATTCCTTTTGGACTTGATTTTCACCATTTGCGTGGCATCAGCAAAATAAGCTCAGGCTCTCTTGTTTTGACTTAGATTAACATTCTGTGTAGATGAGATAAATGGTGAAATTTTCCAGGTGAGGGTACAGTGGCACTGTGGCATATTCCTTTTGGTTCTGCTGAAGTGTTCTTCCATTAATGCTCCATTGTTTGAGGAAGGCAGCTATCAGATACATGTACCTAAGTATCTGAAGACTGCTCTTCCATCTTCTCTTATGCATCAGTGCTAAGGGGTGTTTTAGTGGATTGACAGTTGCTTAGCATCATTGATGCTCATATTTCTTTTACTAATTAGGTATTATAAAGGAATATGTGCTTGCTCTGTTGTGTTACATGTGATGCTGCTTAAACTGTATAATGCAACGTAAAGGAAGGTTAAGGTAGTCTAAACAGTTACTCACAAGTGACACTAAGAAATTTTCAAACAGGTTGTACTTTCTCCAGTTCTTGGTAGCTTCGGTAATGTTAAATGGCCCAACCTACCAAAGGGAAAACTAGTTAAATATTGTATTAAACTGTTACAAGTGATTCTGCTTAAAGTGTACAATGCAACGTAAAGGAAGGTTAAGGTAGTCTACACAGTTACTAAAAAGTCCTTATAAGTTTCTTTGAGCTCTTATTTTTTGACTTATTACGGTAATTCATGCGATTCTCTTGTTTTTGGTGTGTATCATGATTTGAAACAGTTTAATCAATGTCTTATTAAAAAAGAAACAATTTAACTAATGCTAATTAAAATGTTGCAGAATTCTGTGCTGGTCATAATGTATTTGACCCTATGTAGTGTGTTTGTGATACACACAAATGTGCACACATATGCTTACAGTCTAGGGTTGTGGAGTAGTGGCTTTCCACCTCTCAAGGTCATTCTTCCTCCTCTTCTTCTTATCCCATTCTTCCACCTCCTCCTCCTTTTGGTCCTTGTTGAATTGTTCACTATTGATTCTCGTGTAGATATATTGCTTTGTAGATATCTGGTGGAACTCATTCATGCTTAATCTTGGACTGTTTAATTGCTACAAATTCAAGTTTTTCAATTCCTTCCTTGACCATTTTACTATTGAGTGCAGAACTATTCAGGAATTATCTGAAGCAGATAAGGGAGGAAACAAGTGGGAGACTGTTAAGTGTTGCGTACAGACCGAATGGGACTCCAAATAAATGGTGGTTGGCGTTTGCCAAGAGAAAGTTTATGAACACTATAGCTCTTTGAGTGACTGATGTAAAGAAGATTCAAAGAAGAGGTATTTTGGACATCTGTCTGTTTCATTCCATTAGTAATGTCTTGTACAGTTGTACACAAAAGTGAACCTTAGACAACAAGGTTTCCTGTTTAGGAAATCAAGGGAAAGTGAGGCCCGAGGGTTTACTTGTTTGTGTTGTGAACCTTAAATCTATGCATATTTACTGTTGTACAGTGCAGGTGACCAACTCCATTATGAATTTTTTTGATCAAGTATGCATATATACTCCTTTTGCAGTTGGGATTTACAATGTGGTCTAAAGAGCTTGCAGAAATGAGCAGTTTGTCTATGTGATTGCTAAACAATACAGTTTGTTTTAACAACTTAAAACTTTTAGGTAAATTGGTGGTTTAACATGATAAACTCAGACTTGTTTTTGAGTGGCATGCAATTCAGTGAACTGCTGCTGTATTCTTTCCCTTGTTTCCAGAATTTCTAAATATTTGTTTGTGCAGGGCAAGAAGATAGGATTCGAAGATAGAGAGTTTACTACTGTACAACCATGTGTTTTTTGGACTTATAATTGTAATACAAACTTCGTATGTATGAAATCGCGTGAAAAAGATTTTATTCGATTGGTGGAATTCAAATTGACAAGTAGTGATTTACCAACAGAATTTTTTTTTTTTTTTTTTACAATAATTGCTTATCTATGGCAAATTGACAATAGGCAGTTTCTTCTATGTTGGAACTGCAGCCAAACATTAATTAATAATTGTTTGGTCCGAAGACTGTTGAAAAGTGTGATGGATGGGACAAAATAGATCTCTCTTTCTCTCTCCTTATTATATGAAGTCAAAAGAAAATATGGTAGTTTATGTAACTCAAAACATGTAGAAGCTCATAGCCCCACAGCACTTGATAAAAAATATTTGGTATTTGTGAGTGGTTTATCGTATTTATAGATAATTATTATTAATATTTTTATCACTCTTATGATAATTATTTTTATAATTTTTTTTGAGTACAAAAAAAATTAACCAGGTGTAAGGTTAACCACTGTAGCTTGTATGAATGTTAGTTTTTTGACCAATTGGATTGGAGGACTATACTGGTTCAACAAGAAGCATTAATAAGGTAAATCATTATACACAATTCAAGTTTAATCCTGCATATAATTCACGATGATTGTGTGTATTCAAGTTTTACTTTTAATTTTCAAGGAAATGAAGGAGCTAGATTATGGCCTCGGAGGGTCATACCCCCTAGGTCTCAATTATTAATATTCCTATCATTGTTTGCGTATAATTTTTAATTTTGCCCTCCTAGTATTTTGATAATACCTCTTAGTATTTTTCTATTTGGTCCCATTAGAAATTTATGATTTCCTAAACTTGTATAAGCTTGAATTTTGATAATTTTTTGAGATCAAATTATAAAATATTTATCCCTTTATGAACGAATATCGTCATAGTTTATAACTAAGTCTATTGAAAACTAAAAATCTCATCTAATTCAATCAAACAAAATACAAGCAGATGATAAATTAAATTTCGCCCCTATAAATATATTAGTGGTATGAATAATTTAAATTGGATCATAATTAATTTAATCTTTATTATGTCAATTTATTTATTAAAATATTTAATTCGTATTTTAATAGTCATTATCACGAGATAACTTTTTTTTAAAAAAATATGCACACAAACCCCACATTTAATAGCTTTTTAAATTTCACTTTTGTCCTTTTACTGTATTCCAATGAAAAAGAGGAGGATAAATTACATTGACATTCTTTGTAGATTAGTATAATTTTAGAGACACCTCTTCTATTATCTAAAATATAATTGTACTCTCTTATAGTTTACATATTTATTACACTTTGCACCCCTAACATCTGGGACATCTCTAACAACTTAAAAAGGTAATGATGCAAGCAGAAATTTCTTCTTAATTGACAATTCTACCCTCTAATTAAAAAATTGTAAAATCTATTTTAACTCTCGTATTTGAAACCCTATAATTTTTTTCCGAATAAAATTAATCTTAAAACTAAAGATCCATTTTTTTATCTTATATTCATCTTCTTCTCATCTTTCATAGACTAACTACTCAAATTCAGAGTCCAAAAACACCAACAGTACGCATAGTGTCCCCTATAATTTGCCATAAAATTATTTACAGTCCATCCAATAATCTGCCTAAAATATAAGGTTTTAGAATTAATCCATCAATAATGGTTATCAAAGAAATTTTTGTATTACGACGACTTTATGGGTCAACATTTGACAATTTCAGCCTCATCGAGGTCGCAGATAAGATCTGACTTGTTCATGGCAGCTTAAGCCTTTTCCACACACAGTAAGGATACGAGCTCTATGGCAAGCCAACAATAGGCTGGGGCTCCAAATACCACAACCACTTATTTCACCATGTGCCCATTTATCCTTCATCAAATTATACCGAAAAATCTGTTAAACTAAGTATGTCTAAATTTTTTGTAAAAATTAGGTGAAAACAAATGCCATCGAAACCAACAAATCAACACTTTCGGACATCTTTAATTATATTTTTCCGTTGATTTAGTGTCAAAACAACTATGACAATTTCTTGAAGGTCACTACAGCATTAGAAGATCTGAGTTAGATTAGTTGGATTTGAGAGTGTAGAGTGAAAGAAAAACAATAAGAGAGAGAGAGTAGCGGATGATGACTTTGGGTTAGAGGGGAAGGGAGTCAATGAGGAGGATAAAAAAGTAAGAAAATACACTGGTCGAGGGTAAATGAGTCAAATTACAATCATAGTTAACATTTTTAATAGACAAAACCTGATAGGGGACGGTAGTATGATTTCAAATAACTAAAGGGCTGTCTCTGAAATTATGCGAATCTACAGAGGGCGTCATTACAATTTTCCAAAAAGAAAAGCAAAAAGAAAGAAAAGCTGAGTCGGTCTCGGTCACTCTGCCCTTTTCAGTCTGTACTGAGTGCTAAACCATTTTTGAGAAACCAAATCGAAACTCTCCTTTCCTTCCTTCTCTCTCTCTCTCTCTCTCCAGTCACCTCGTCTCCCTCCCTCCTCTCTTTTTGGATCACAAACTCATCAAAAATAGCAAAAATTTTCGTCTTTAACCCGATCAAAACACACACACATTTCCCAATTTTCGCCATTAATAAAACAAACAAACAAAAGCATCAAATATGAAGATAGATCTGAACTCAAGAACATGAAACCCAAATCCAAATCCAAACCCTCAAACATCTACTCCATTCCCACCACCACAACCGCCAATCTATACATATATCTGATATCTTTGATTTTCTTGAACTACACCCATGTCATCAAAAGCCGATCATATCCATTCCCATGATTCTCTTTTGCCTTCCGGAGAAGTAGAGTCTGAACATCAGCCGATTGATTCTATTTCCAAGAGAACCCAAATCGTTTCAATCCCTCCACAACCCTGTTCGCATTTGTTTCAATTCAAATCCAAGAACGGGACCAAACCCTTCCGTGCCCTTCAAGATTGCCTCAGGATAAAACCCCTAGGTCGCGCCTCGATCCGTCGGGACCCACAAGAAATCATCCGCTGTAACACTTGCGGTCACGCGCCGTCGCGTCTATACGCTTGCGTCGCTTGTGCCGCGGTGTCTTGTCAACTCCACGCGCCGTCGCACGAGGTGGATTTTCCCGGATCTGGTCATGACATCGCGGTTGACGTAGACCGCGCCCAACTCTTTTGCTGTGTCTGTTTGGATCAAATCTACGACAAAGACTTCGATGCGGCGGTCGTTTTGGCGCAGACCGCGGCTTCGACCATCGGATCGATCCGCGCACCGCCGCCGGAGAATTTAAGGAAGCGGCGGCGCGTGGATTATCGTCCTTGGACACCTGATCTGCAAGAACGCGACTTGATCGGTGAAAAATCGACTAAATTACCGAGTTCTGAAAGTGATTCGGGTTTGGATTCACCGTGGGGATTGAGAGGGCTTAACAATCTAGGAAATACATGTTTCATGAATTCCATATTACAAGCTTTGTTACATACTCCACCATTGAGGAACTACTTTTTGAGTGATCGGCATAATCGGTATTTTTGTCAGCAGAAGAGTAATGGGAGGAGAAATTCTGGGAATACTAATACTAAAAATTTGCGGTTGTGCTTGGCTTGTGACATGGATGCGACGTTTTCCGCTGTGTTTTCAGGGGAAAGGACTCCGTATAGCCCCGCGAGATTTTTATACAGGTCTGCATTGAGCTCTTGTTCATGATGGTATGATTGTAATTTGTACTGTAGTTGTTACAGCATATAAGAAGGGATTTTGTGTCAAAAATTGCGGTTCTGTTCGGGTATCTACCACTTGTGATGGTAAATGATGTATTGGCAGGTTTGCGTCGAACTCATGTTAATGATCTTATGGTTGTAATGTGATTGTTCCAATATATAAAAAGTGCTTTTTGTTGAAAAATGCGGTTATGTATGGATATTTGTCACTTTTGATAGTGGATGATGTATTGCTAGTAACTGATAAGTTTGTGATCATGAATTTTGTAGTCGTGCCATCTGACAGTAAATGTGGCATAGGTTTGGATCAGCTCATGGTACAGGCTCATTCTTTATGTATTGAAAATTTTCGAAGCAGAATTAATGAATGAGTTAGAAATATTACATTGTACTGAACTATCTAGTTCCCTTGGGTTTATCTAGTTAATATCATCTTGGGTTTTTAGGATGTGCAGTTTGTGACTAAATGATTTCTGTTCTTATTTTTTCAGTATGTATTTTTGAGTGGGGTAAATTTTTGCAGTTGGTGGCAGCATGCGGCAAACCTGGCAAGTTATGAACAACAGGATGCACATGAATTTTTCATTTCAATGCTTGATGGGATTCATGAGAAGGTGGAGAAGGATAAACGCAAACCCCAGAGTCAAGGTAAATGCTGGTCCAAAACATTCTCTTAAATTTCCTTTTCTTTTTAGAAATGTACTTGGCTGGAAAACTAGGCACTAAGCAATGAAAGAGGTTATTGCTATATAGGTTCCAGTTTTAATTACCCATGCTAGAATATGGTTTATTTGTTTTCAGTTGTTAAAATTTATGAAGGTGGTTGTTGAGTTCATGTGCCTAGTTTGCAGTAGTCTAAAGTAACTTTGTAGCTCTCTGGTCTTTTTTTGGATCCCATCTAGGAAGTTTGGTTATGTTGTTAGGTGCTATTATTTTTTTCCTAGACATGTTTGTATGGTGAACATAATTATTGAATTTAGATGGCTCGGCATATATATATCTTTTTGTCAGACTTTTCTATTTTGTGGCACTTCAAAGATTTTTTGTGGTTCATGAAGTTAGAATGTAGACGTATAATTTGATCTTGTGTTCTTGCAAAGTGTACATTGTGATGGTAAGTTCAGAGTACAAGCTCATTTGACAAACTGTCTTGTTTAGGACAATCTTAAATTCCTAACTCTTTCAGTATTCTCCTGAAAACTTTTAAGTATGTTAAGATTAGGAGACACTTGGTGATCTTTCATAAGCTTAGGTAATTAGGCAACATTTTTTGTGAAATTTAGTGTCCAAGTGGCACCACCATTGTGACTAAGAGCTGGGAAAGATTTTCTTAACAACCATCTGATGTCACAATCTTCTCGGATCTAGAATTTTCATTCTGACCAAGTTGATCTAAAATTTTTGACAAAGATTAGAAAGTAACAACAATATTCAACTGCAGGGTGTGAGTTTAGGTCTTCATTGCCTTAGGCATTGCCAAGTGCTCCCAGATTTAGGGCTAATAAACAATCAGCAAGCTTGCCATCTGCTTCACTCGAGTAAGTCTCATTTTCCTTAGTCTGCTTGGTTTCATCATAGGATTGTCTTCTGTCACATTCATTCTTATGTTAATTCCACCTGTGTCCTTGTTAGGGTCTCTATTTTTTGGCGCAGCTGATTCGAGCCTGGAGAATTTCAAGGTCCATGCTAGGTAGACAGCCAGGCTGAATCCTTATGTCAGATCCTTATGATCATATGTTGTTCACAGATCAAACATTTTGTCGTCTTTTCTTTTGATGGAGATATTGGGATACCATTTGAACTTCGTCATCTTTCAATCAGTAAAGGTGCTTTTTGGGATTATTATGGGACAAATCCAGTACCTCAAACAGCAACTTTGTCGCTCCATCTTCATGACGGTGCTGTTCTTTTTTTCTATCTGTAGCTGACCTTTTCTTTCCATTAAATTAAAATGAAGTTACATGTTGTCTTTCTAATTGGTTTAAATGCACATCTGCCATTAATTGGCTAAAAGTCTAAAACAAAATAAACATTTCACATGGGCTTTAGATACGTTGCAATACGAATACGTGGTTATCATCTTATAATGATCTATGAATTCCAGAACAGTTGATTATCATGCTTATACAAAACAATAGATAGAGGGGGTTAGAAGTTCACGTAGAAGGCATTATTAAAGGATGGTAGTAGAATCAATAGTTGATCAGCAGTGATCCTTTGTTATAGAGAACTTGCAGGGTTGATCTATTTTGGAAGTGAAGAAGTGAATACTTAATTCTGTGTGCTGCTTATAAACCTTTCAGTGGAACATCAGTGGCTTAACATATTATTCTTACCCTTGCAAGATGGTTGAGAAAATGTTTGCATTTATATGTCCATAACTATATTGAATATTTCAGTTGTGACATTAAAGAAAGAGGTTACCTGGATTTTGTTATTATGAATATCTGTGATTTAGTTTTGACACAAAATAAGTTTGTAAGATTTCACCATGTTGCAGGCAGTGGAGATTGTTGTATTGCTCATAGAGTATTCTCTGGTATCTTGCGATCAGATGTTATGTGTACGGCTTGTGGCTTTACTTCTACAACATATGATCCATGTGTAGACATCTCATTGGACTTGGAACCGAACCAAGGGGGTTCTGCTAAGATGTCATCCACAAAATCTCATCATTCTTTCAACGGGGAGGCAGACCAAAGCTGTGGAATATCTACCCTGATGGGATGCTTGGACCGTTTTACAAGACCCGAGAGATTAGGTGTTGACCAAAAATTTTTCTGCCAACAGTGTCAAGTGAGACAGGAATCTCTCAAGCAGATGTCCATAAGAAAGCTTCCATTGGTTTCTTGCTTTCATATCAAAAGATTTGAGCATTCTCCTGTCCGAAATATGTCAAGGAAGGTTGATCGCTACTTACAGTTCCCATTTTCCTTGGACATGGCACCTTATCTCTCTTCCTCTATCTTGAGAAGTCGATTTGGAAACAGAATTTTCTCTTTTGATGGGGATCAGTCAGAAACTTCAAATGAAATGTCTTCAGAGTTTGAGTTGTTTGCTGTTATCACTCACACAGGCAAACTAGATGCAGGTCATTATGTTACTTATTTGAGGTTAAGGAACCAATGGTACAAGTGTGATGATGCTTGGATCACTCGAGTTAACGAGAATACTGTGAGGGCAGCACAAGGATATATGATGTTTTATGTGCAGAAAATGCTTTACTACAAAGCAAGTGAGAAGTTGGTTGCCTCATGAGAGGGTGGCAGGCACAGAGAATTGGTGCTGAAAAGCAACTGCACATGATGAAATTGGAACAGTTCATTGCGATTCATGGTACCCAGAAATTTGTGTGTCAGTAAAGTACCACAGCCATCTGTGCTCACCATGACGATTGATGTCACTAAATGGCTATCATCATCAGTAAAGGTCAAGCAGCCCTCTCTGCTCTGAGTATATCTTTGATGGGTAACTCTAAAATCTCAGTTGGAGCATACTTGTGAGCCTGAATTTTTGAGGCACTCTCCTGCATTCGGCCATAGATTTTATAAGTATGGTTTCCTTAAAAAAGCAATTTCAATTGGTTCATTTTTCCCCAGCTCATTCAAGTGGTGTTGGTGGGTTGATGATTTTTTCCTCATTGAATATGTGCTCTTTACTTTGAGTTGTAGTTTACTGGTGTACTAATTTCATACATGGCATACTAATGTTAGCAATCAACTAAAGAAGCTTTTTTGACCTATACGGGCCTTCAATTAACTTCTCTCTTGTGCCCCGCTGATTTGTTGTTGATCAGAGCATCAAGAAGCACAACCTGATTCTACTTGTCTAACTCGTTGTTCATCCAAGGAGGGTGGTTGCTTTTCCAAACTCCCTACATTCATTTGTTTGAACAAAAGATGGCATTGCTTCATCCATCTGAACATTTTATTGTGGCTGTTGATTAATAGAAGCCGCTCCCTCCCTTTGATTTTTCATTGGAATACCCGTCACTATATTTGGCATTTGTGCTTTTGTTTTGGGTTCGATAAAAACTAGGTGCATATAACCCAAGGTAGACTATAAGACAGCTTAGCAAACTAGTCCTAGGTAAGGGGACCAACTCAGGCTTTGATGACAAAGGTTGCTGTGTAAAGTTGGTACCAATTCCATTCTGGATGTTGTTTTCTTGCCCTCGGATCTTCTCAGCCGGCGGCAACGTCTTATGCATTGTTTGGTTGGTTAATGAATATGTCATGCTAGGGGTAGTTTATTTAACCTTTCCTTCTAAGGAGACCAAACAGAGCTCTGGTCAGTCTATTTTCCTTCCCCATCTGTCAGGGTGTCTTGCTCATCTTAACAAGGTTAGATTGCTATACCCAAAGAACCGTTTTTTGGTATTGAATCCCCCCCCCCCCAAAAAAAAAAAAAAAAAGAAGCAAAAAAAATACAGATAATACTTTAATATTGTTAATGACTATTGAGTGTTTCTCTCTGACCTGGTTTTGTTTTTATTTTTACTTCTTTGTGGGGGAGGGGATTGGTGGCGGTGGCGGTGGAGGAGGATGGTGATCCTAAGGTCAATTGGATAAATTTATCAAATTTGACTGGTCTGATTATTTCTTAAACCAGCCACATGAAGGGTAAATAAGTCAGTTTGGCCAAATTGTTAATAACCCAGAGACTAAAACCTTGCATTGGGGTTCTTGATTTCAATTATTTTGTCAGAGCATTCCAAGCAAAGGTGTTAAACTACTTGTCTAAGGAAGCATTAGATGAAGAGGAGTTTGATTAATTTTATTTTGGGCACTTCTTGTGACTTTGTATAAACAAATCATTGTTACATAATTAGTGCCCCCAAGGCTATCTGTTTTATGTGATATGTGGTCTAAGTAGTAATGTATCCATACGAGCTCCGGCCCTCGGCATCTCGAATACAAAAGAAAATTGTTCATTGTTGTTGTTACTTGTCGTGGATCTTCAACATTTCATCTTTCATAAATCTGGGTTTTCATTTGAGAAGTGACGTTGAGATTGTACACGTGCGATAAATAATAAATAATAAATAATAAAGAAAGCAAAAGGCGCCTAGAAAACAAATACTAGAGTGACGCCAAAAGGCCTCTGGCAGCTTTACTACCGCCTTTCCTACCAAAACCCAAAATTACACGAGGTTTGGAAAGGATAGTAAAGAATCTAATTTCTTCCTCCCTTATTTTCTAGAGATAGATATAACTCTCTTGAAACCTAACTGTTAGAATGAATGGCATCTGGAGTTAATATAGAACTGAAACGAACCAAATTATGATTAAGTGGGGTTCGAGCTAAGACTGATCCAAAACAATTGGGATTGATCCAGAAAAAAGTTGTTATTGATCTCAAGCAAGCAATTGGTGAATGATTCCAAATTTGTGTACCTCACTGTTAAAACTGGGTGACAATTTTTGATGAGACATGAATTTGAACGATTTAGAGTTCTTGATACAAACTCAAAAATTACACCCCCCGCGAAAATGAATATTAAGTAAGCTAAATCAATATGATTAATTCAATAAATGTTGATACTAACCCTTGCTTAATCATAGTCTTCACAAAATACCCTGTCGAACAGAATTCATTCAAGTAATAGCTGAAGGATGGGTTTACAAACCCTTCATGCATCCACTTTACAAAGAAAGATATTAGTGTGAAATTAAATGAACAACCATTTTTGTTTATACCCTTGAAGAGAAAGTGATTTTCAGATTAAACTACTAGGAAACATGAAAGCCCCCATATCATGGAATCTGTTATAATAAAACTTCCCAAATATACAACATGAAAACAAGATCCCTATAGCGGGGGAGAGAGAGAGAGAGAGAGAGAGAGAGAGAGAGAGAGAGAGAGAGTGTGCGTGCAAAGAATGAAAAAGTTAGATTAGCAGAGAGAGAATGAAATTCAAGGGTTTGGACAGGCAGATGCCGGGGAAATTCACTGTACAGTAGAAGAAAAACGCGTCGTTGATTTGTGAAGCCCAAAACGATGTCGTTAATCTTAACAGCAGTGTTTATTCCTTAACCTCGTAATAAGGTTTAGAAAAAATTTTAGCCACACTCTATTTTTTTATTTATTTGATTAAAGGCTTAATTAGAATACAATTTTATTAAATTACACATGATATATTTTTAAAAAAAATTTATTCACTCCCTTTTTAAATATGTATATCGTTAATGAGATCCTCTCTATTTTATAAATTTTTTTACGTATTAAAATTCTAGTCGATTAAAATTTGATTTGAGTTTTTAATTGGTTCAAATCAAATTTTTATTAATTTGTATTGAATTTTAATATACCCAAATTTTGATACTATAAATTTTAATTGACTCAAATTTAAATATGTAAAAAATAAATTTTAATCAACTTGAATCGAATTTTAATTAACATGAATTTTAATAAATAAAAAAATATAAATTTTAATTGACTCGAATCAAATTGTAATAGGCACTAATAGCTTAGGTTGAGCTCAAATCGGTTCAAATTTTAATACTTAAAAAAAAAATTTAATAGGCTCAAATTTTAGTGTGTAAAAAATAAAATTTAATTAGCTCGAATCAAATTTTAATATGTAAAAAAATTAATTTTAATCGGCTATAATTCTAATTGAATTTTATGTAAAAAGATTGTTCGATGTTTATGTAGAGATAATTTTGATATTCTAGATGATTTTTTTTTTTTTTGGGTTAGAAATGGTGGTTTAAATTTTAACTGCAGGAGGTGTCGATCATATTTTGAATAATAGAAAGATCGTCTTTTAATATATGATAAAATAGAAGGGGAGTGATTGAAATTGTTCCAAACTTTTTTAATGACCTCTCGCCAACGAAAACAGCGCCACAAGTGAATTTGTCATCTTCTTCAAGTACTCTCTCTCGCCCTCTCTTTCTCTCTCCAAATTTATGCGTTTTCTAGGGCTCAGAATCACTACAACGTCGTTTTTGTGTCTTATCTAATAAAATCCTATCCTCTCCTTCTTCCTTTGTCTCTGCATAATCAAATCATATATAAAAGGTTAGGGGTTTTAAGTCTCCAACCTCGAATATTTCAATTCTGATTTGAAATTTTCAAAATTCAATTTTAATTTGTTTTGGGTTAGAGTTCCTTTTGGTTTGGTTTTAGACTCCAATCTATTTTCTTTTCAATGTTTAGCTGATTTTGTTATCTGGGTTTGGTTTAGAGTTTTTATTTTTTTGGTGTTCTTAACTGGGTTTTGCTTAATTTAGTGTTTGGTGATAGAAAAAAAAAAAGTGAAAATGAAGATGCTAGCTGGTGGTACTAACCTCATCATGTATATTACGTGGTAATTTGGAGTTGATGAATTGGATCTTCTGAACGCAGAGTGGTTGTATTCTGATAAGGTAAAGAAAAGGAAAACCCTTGTTTTTCGATATGTTTTTGCTTTTGCTCTTTTCTTTGTTTAGGTTTCCTGTTTTAGCTGCTATTGTTGTTGTTGTTGTTGTTGTTGTTGTTGTTTTTGTATGTGCCTGTAAGAGTAGGAAAGAATGGGATGAGCACGAGGAATTTGTTACTTAACTGAGTGATTTAATTCAAGAATGGAACAAAATCTTGTTTGTATTGAGAACATTGATATATTGATTTGTTTGTCTGCGCGAGTCAGGAACTGTGAAGACAGCTCAATGATGGAGACTACATAATTAGTCTTGTCTTCATGCTGGAGAGATCAACCATGAAGCTTGTCTTACTTAAATGACTAATTGGATGATTTGAAGATTTGAGGAGAGACTTTAACTAGCTTCACATTGTTTGCACTTGCATAACCACATGATCCCGTCTGTACTCTCTCGAGTGAGAATATGGTGTTAATAAGTTATAACTCCACAAGAATGATTTGGGGGCAGGATAATTTTTTTTCATGTTGCAAATATAGTTAGTTCATATGATTGATTGGGTTTACATCCTTTTTTTTTGGGGGTATGGATAAGGGCTGGTTAATTCAACATATGTTGCAATCCAATCAATGACCTTTGTTGCATGTTTGAAGTTTGGAACAAACCCTTTTTTTAGAGCAGTAGCCTAAACCCTTGTAACTAGGATAAAGTGCCCTTAGCATTATACTGTTTTGGGTAAGCATGCTAAAACTTAGAACGTGCATTATTCCTAAGGCCAGGAGTAGAACAATTAAGATAGAAACAGGAAAACTTAAAGACTGATGAAATTGACAGTATTTTTGGCAGCTTTTGGTTGGTTACTTGTACAGTTGGAAAAGAAGGTATGAAGCAAATAGTCTGTTTGGTATGAAGGAAAATGGGTGGATGGAAAAAGGGTGGATGAAAAATAAGAGGGAAAGTGATGTTTTCCTTTGTTTGGTTGAAGAAGGAAAAAGGAGAGGAAAGAAAAGAGTAAGGAAAGTGTATACCTCGCTCGCGCTCACCAAATTCAATCCGCCCAAATTCGGGCGGAAAAGTGGAGAGAGAAGGTGGACATAATAATTGCATTTGTTGAATTACCTTAGTGCCATCCAAGTGGCTGCTGGTCTTACTGTTTTGGAAAAATAAAAAACATGTGGGGTCCACCTTTTTTTTACTTCTTTTAGACAAAGAAAATAATGTGGGGTCCACATTTAATAGGGCATTTATGGTATTTAACATATCATTTATTTTTTTTATTTTGTTTTTCATTCTAAATAAAATAATAAAAAATTTATCTATATCACTTTTCCATCCTTCCTATCAAACAAGAATAATGGAAAACATCTTTCTTTCCTCTGAGAATGGAAAGTTCATTCTCTCTTATTTTCCATTATTCCTACCAAACATACCATAAAAGGTACTTCAAGAGTGTAATGTTATTGAAAAGTGGAGGATACCATTGTATGACTATGGTAATGTACAATATTATGAGACTTGATAGTAACACCTTTCGAGCGCCGACACTTCTTGTACACTCTCCACATGTGTACGATCAGTTAGTCAGATGCATGGTTAAGAAACAAAAATCTTATCCTGATACACGTGTCTGACACTTTTTTGGTGACTTATTTGACATTTCTTAGGTCCTATGAGTCAAAATAAAAATGTGGTGTAAATTGCTTGGACCCTTGCTAATATGCGATAAAGAAATCCTAGAATTTTGAAATAAAACCATTGAGTTCCTTGGAATAACATATGAGTGTCAAGTCTAATCAAATTTAAGTTTTACCCAAAATATATTGGGAAACACCAGACAAATAAACGTTTACTAAAGAAGAGAGCCCAATAATAGCTCTATACTTTCTATACCATCTATAAGAATGGATAATTTTTTACCAATATGGTCCAATTAATAAAAAAATTCTTGTTAGAATACCACACCTACTGTTTGCGTAATATAAAGGTATGATTTTCTTAGATTTCATAAATATATGAACGTATATATCGATAAATGTGGTCGTGTTCATGTCCGTGTCCATATCCTAAATTTTTTGTGATTTGGCGGCTGCATTCATCCAGTGGCACATGTCAGGGTATGTGCTTCACAGATACTGAAGATTGAACAGAAGTACATGAAAAAAGACCGAGGGTATTCTTATTTTCTGGATGGATACAGCATACAGGACATCTTTTGATCGTCTAAAACTTTTCTAAAACTGGATTATCGTCAAATATAGAAGTCTATCACTATTTAGAAATTTTCGCTATAGTATTATTTAATAGTCAAAATAATAAATGGGGCCGTAACATTTTTGATTTGTCATTGATAGCAAGATTTCATTTCATCTAAATTATTGCTTTTGATGCTTGTTTACTGTACAGGTTGTTATCTCTACTCCACGTAGGTTTTGAAAATTTCCTCATCTACTTCTTGTGTCGACTCTGGTGCTCGTAGAGAGCAAGTCAAACTGTGCTTTATGGTACCTTTTTGTCATGTGCAGGAAGCATGATGGGCATTAAGGATTGGATTCTCTCTCAGTTGTTATCCAAGTCGTTGGTCTCGTCAAGACCACTGTCAAACAGTGACAGCTTTCTTGAGGAGGAACATTTAAGTGAAGAGTTTGGCACTCAAGGTATTACCTTGTTTCTTCCTGATTTAGGAGTGAATTGAAGATTGAGGTCAGACTTAGAGCGTTGTCAAGTGCTCATTTGCACAAGTGATAAGTTGTGGGTTCAAGTCTTGGTATCAGGCTCTCCAAAATGAGGATGGGGCAGCCGACCATTTACCTCTCCCAGACCCTAGTCAAGTGCTATGTGCTACCATGTTTTACTGTTCTTGGTTATCTATTTTTGAAGTTGATTCCAAGCCATCCTCCCTTTGTCTTTTCTTTTCTATGATAGTGGCATAACTAAGACTTTGAGGAACAAAGATGAGTCATGAGGGTTCTAGCCATTTGTTGGATTGAATGTGCTAGGAGGAGATTATCCATCCTTTCATCTGCCCCTGACTTCACAGGGCTCTGATATAGTTTTGTTGAAAAGAACTCCAACTATGCCCACTTCTTTTTCAATCCTCATTTGTTACACTGTAGTCATAACTGCATATAGTGAAGATATGATTTGTTTTTTTTCCTTTTCAATAAGAATTCGTAGAAGCAGATAGCTGATATTGGTAGTAAAGTATCAACATGTTGATGTTAAGGAAAGTTTTCCACTTCATTTTACGCTCACTTTGACGTAGAAGTAGATTCTAACAATGATGTGGCCATAATGGGCATCTTGTTTCTAAGGGTTTTGTGTAGAACCTGCAATTACATTGGGATGCTCAATTGCTCATCACAGAGATATACACCTACTTGTTGCCATTCTAGTTGCCATTTTGCTTAAAGCATGTTTCAACAGCAGTGTTAAACTTTTTTAATACGTCAAGATACCCATGTTGATGGATTTTGTCTAACAAAACTTTTTTGCCATTTTGTTTATTAGGTGCAGCTCATTCTGTCAATTCGGTTTCGCTGCCAGTGGCTGCTGATACATCTCACTCTTCCAACGTTAGTCAGGAAAATCAGCATGGTTTCCCTTCAGATGATGCTTTGATTGAAAGTCCTCAGCAGCCTCATGTTGAGACACATGAGGAAAATTTAGAGCCTCTGGTAAAGATCGAGTGTCTCCAAATTAAGTTTTTGCGATTTATTCGACGCCTTGGGCTAGCGCACGACAATCTTATGGTGGCTACAGTTCTGTATCGGATACACCTGGCAACTTTGATACGAGCAGGGGAGTCAGATTTGAAAAGAGCTAATCTCAGAAGTGATAGAGCTAGAGCAATAGCAGCAGAACAAGAGGCAACTGGCCTACCTGAACTTGGCTTCTCACTGAGAGTACTTGTCCTTGGAAAAACAGGGGTTGGCAAGAGTTCAACTATTAATTCAATATTTGACCAAACAAAAACTATGACTGATGCATTCCATCCTGCTACTGATCGCATACAAGAGATTGTTGGAACAGTGAGTGGAATTAGAATATCTTTCATTGATACTCCGGGTCTGCTGCCTTCCTCGACAAATTGCGTTAGAAAAAATCGGAAGATTTTGTACTCTGTGAAAAGGTTTATCAGGAAAGCCCCTCCAGACATTGTATTATATTTTGAACGACTTGATATGATCAATATGGGTTATAGTGATTTCCCACTGTTGAAGCTTATTACTGAAGTCTTTGGTTCTGCAATTTGGTTTAGCACCATTCTTGTGATGACTCATTCTTCCTCGACACTCCCTGAGGGACCAAATGGCTATCCTGTCAGCTATGAGTCCTATGTCACACAGTGCTCGGATCTGGTGCAGCACTACGTTCACCAGGCAGTTTCTGACTCAAAACTTGAAATCCCTGTGCAGTTGGTGGATAATCATCCTCAGTGTAAAACAGATATCACTGGGGAAAAAATTCTTCCAAACGGACTGGTTTGGAAATATCACTTCCTGTTATTATGTGCATGCACCAAAGTGCTAGGGGATGTTAATGCCCTTTTGGAATTTGAGGACAGTATCGAACTAGGGCCATTGAGTAATACCCGGCTGCCTTCTCTACCCCATCTTCTCTCATCTTTTCTTCGGCATCATGCTCAAGTGAACCCAAATGGAGCAGACAATGAAATTGATGAGATTTTTCTTTCAGACATGGAGGAAGAAGATGATTATGATCAATTACCACCAATCCGGATTCTGACAAAATTCCAGTTTGAGAAATTAAGTGATGCCCAGAAAAAGGAGTATTTTGATGAGCTTGATTACCGAGAGACCCTTTATTTGAAGAAACAGATGAAAGAAGAGTCCCGTAGACGAACCGAAAACAAGTATCCTCAAGGTGGGGATCCAACCAGTGATAATAATTCTGATAACCAGGAGCCTTCAGAGGCTGTTCAGTTGCCAGATATGGCAGTCCCTCCAAGTTTTGACTCCGATTGCCCTTTACATAGATACCGTTGCCTTGTTACAAATGACCAGTGGCTTGCAAGGCCCGTTCTTGATCCCCATGGGTGGGATCATGATGTAGGTTTTGATGGAATTAACCTGGAGACAGCTATACAAATAAGAAAGAAAGGCTTTGCCTCTGTCACAGGACAGATGAGCAAAGACAAGGAAAATTTTAGTATTCAGTCCGAGTGTGCTGCTGCTTTCACAGATCTCAGAGGACCCACTTATAGTGTAGGACTCGATGCCCAATCATCCGGGAAAGAGTTGATCTGTACGGTACGCAGTGGCACACAGCTCAGAAACTTGAAAAACAATTTGACTGAATGTGGCATTTCTGTTACATCTTTTGGAGACAAATACTATGTGGGTGCTAAGCTTGAAGACAGCATCACAATTGGGAAGAGACTGAAATTTGTAATGAATGCTGGCCGGATGGGGGGTGCAGGGCAAGTGGCTTATGGTGGGAGTATTGAAGCTACTTTAAGGGGGAAAGATTTCCCTGTGAGAAACGAGAGGGTCAGGCTCGCAATGACAGCCATTTCGTTTAACAAGGAGCTAGTATTGAGGGGAAATTTACAGTCTGACTTCAGATTAAGCCGGGGTACAAGAATGTCAGTCAATGCGAACATAAATAGCCGGAACATGGGCCAGGTTTGCGTGAAGACAAATAGCTCTGACCACATAGAAATAGCTCTGATTGCGGTTGTTTCCATCTTTAGAGCCCTGTTACGGAAAAAGGCAACGGATGATCTTAGCCAGGAAACTCTGGAGATGGGGTGAAGTTTTTTAGTTTTTTGGTGCTGAACTTGTTTAGTTAGGGAGAGGACTTTGATGGCAGTGGTGTCTATATGCAGAAGCGAGATAATGAGCATTTTCCATAGCACGAGATAATGAGCATTTTCCATAGCAGAAGAGGAAAGAAATTGCATGCAAAGATCTAAATAAAGCTGTGTTGAACTCACTGCTAGAAAGCATTTTTGGAAGTGTCCATGCAGAAAAAGCAGGAAGTCGATATATAACCATGTCAATTTTGAGTTTGTAATCGGTTGTTATATCAGTAACGTCGAGACTGTGGTAGTAACAGGATCCGATATAGATACAATGCAGCCACTGATGGCTGAAGTGGTTTGTACCAAGTACAGCAAGGTGATATAATTGTATAGCAGATTGGTAAGAGTAGTCCCTTGTTCTTCGATTTCTTCCATAACTGAAAATTCTAGGCGAGAAAATTGTTCCTGCGCATCATTTTCTTATTCTAGATGCTTGTGTATGAGTATGATGATTTCTTTGGATCTCTCTCTCTCTCTCTCTCTCTCTCTCACTCTCTCTCTGCACTATGGTTTGTTTATCAGGATCAAGATACGTGCTTGTTTGCATTTTTTGCGGCCAAGCACTGTAAGTTGAATGCGTTTCAGGTATTGTTAACCCTTGGGGGGAACCCAACTTCAAGGATAACCCAACTTCAAGGATTTGTACATAAGATTCAAACAATTAATCCTATTCAATTCCATATATGGATTCATATCAAATCATGTTTTTCAATTGACTAACATGTCCATTATTAAGTAAATTGAATATTGAGTTTTTAAATAAAAGAGTGTTTTTATTCATAAATCTTATCACTCACTTTTGAAACTTAACCCTCCATAGGTTTCATCGAACTTTCATGGAGGGGTTGAAATTTACTATCCATATTGGGTCAGGATTAGTCTAATTGTTTAATCCCACTTCCCTAAAAATGAATCAAATGTAAGTTATGTGAGATTTTTGAATTATTTTTTTCTCAATTTAAGTCACTAATCCACTTTAAACCCATGAACCAAACTGCCCCAAGTGCCTTAAAAGTGCCATATTTAAGCTTCAATTTGCTTCCAACTACAAAATCAATGTTATTGACGAAGTTTGTGAGGATTTTGGATAGTGCTTCTTTCTTATCCATTATATATATATATATATGTATATATATATATATAGAGAGAGAGAGAGAGAGAGAAAATTTGTTTGATCGATTAATGTATCTCAATATTCATTATGTTATGTAATGTTTACCACAATTTTAAGACATTGACTATGAGATAAGGATTAGGAATGGAATGTTAAAAGATCCCTAAGTAAATCATATACTAATGACACTAAAACAAAAAAAAGAAAAAGGAAAGGAAAAGAGAAGGAAGAAAGTGCTCTCTCATTAAAGTTCATGAACAGTTGAATTGCTGTCCTTGTCTATTATAATTATAAGATATGAAACCATACAATGATTGCTTAGTTTAATTGTCTTCCATTAATTAACCTGATGGTGTTTTAATTGAACACTCGTTCCTTCAAAAACAGATTTTCTAACTAGGCTATGCTGTCACGTATGCACACCCTTCAATCTATAGTATTTGACTTTGCCTTTAATAGACCCTTGGTCGTCTCTATTTGCCTCCCCATGGCTTCCCGTTCTTTGCTTCGTAAATGAAATCCTAGCTGCTAGATTATACAGAAGAGCCAAACTAAGTAATGAACGCTTTCATAATTGAAGTTTGTAATCAATGGAATCATTTTATTAAACAATTTCTTTACAACATAGACAGGCACACCACAATCACAAACAAACGTATTCACAAAAATCATCTAAATTGAACAAAATAAAACTTTGTTTATGTTGGAACTTTTTTTAAGGTGAAGAACCCCAAAGAACCTCAGCAACAATGGTGGCAGCCTCGGCATCAGAAACAGAGGCCTCCCTTACTCTCTTCAATATCTCCTGCTTGAATGCTCTCTTCTCTCTCTGTCTCAACCCTTCTCCAACCTCAAGCTGCACTGCAAACCTCGCAACACAGCTCGCAAATGGGTGGCTCTCCAAGAACCTTCTCTCTCTATTCTCTCTCCTCCCCATCCCGTTTCTCTCAAACTCATCCACTTCCACACCTTTCTTCTCTCTCTCCTCATCAAACTTCCCCAAATCAATCAAATCACCACCCAGTTCTGATCTCTGTAACTCCACCAGTTTCTTGATCAAACCCGCGTTAATCATCGATTCTATCGCCTCTTTCCTCCCAAAATACCCAATTTCAAGCACACAATCCATGGCCGTCATTTTCATCAACAGATCATCAAGGCTTAAGAAACTAATGATCTTCTGGATTTCACCATTTGCCTCTAAATCATCCACCAAAGGACTCTTAATCAACTTGATTAGGGAGCATACGACTTCTAAGGACGCCATGGAACCCATTGATATCAGAGCTCGGACTGTTTGACCCATCAAAACTTGGCCTACGAAAACATCTTTGTTGAACTTTATCAAGTCTGCGATGGCGTAAGCTGATTTTTCTCGAACCCTTTTCGAGAAATTGACTCCGCAGAGAACTGATTCGAGGTCTGAAAACACCTTAGACTTGAGTATCAAATCTTGCAGCTCAGAAGAGAATCCCTGAGCTAGCCTGTTTCTGAACTGATCTATTATGTCCAGAAACTTGTCTTCTTCCGAAGATGATAAAGGAATCGCGGGAGAGAGAAACTGTTGTAAGGCTCTGGTGAGGTTAACCATAGTCTCCCGATCGATCCAAGCTTGGATTTCTGACTCGATTGATCCGGCGACTCGGGAGATCTCGTGGGTTCTGACTCGGCGAGACAAGAAAGATCGAATACCATGCCTAGACCCTGATTTTTGGAGGGTGTCTATGAGGGTTTTGAGGTTGGTGAGGTGCTTGGAGAGATTTGAGAGATGTGGGTCGTTGGAGAGAATTGAGTTTGACTCGGTCTCCAGCTCCAGAAGGGCTTTAATGGCGGAAGCCGAGTCGGACTCGGCCGAGTGCGTACTCGGGTTGGCTTGTAACTCGTGTGAAGCTTGTTTTAAAGCTTCTAATACTTTCAAGACTAGTTGGGTCTCTTCTTTTGCAGCTTCTTCTTCCATAGCCAAGCTTCTACACAGAGAGAAAGAGAGAGCGAGAGAGTTCAACGACATGTTTTGTTTTGTTGTTGCAGACTATAAATACTACAAGCTGCTGGAAGGCCACCTGCTTTTCTAACGAGTACCGGGACAGGGAAGTGTCGGTTGATGATGATTTTTTAAATATTTTTTTGGAAAAAATAATTGTGAAATTAATAAATATTTATTATTTTTTTACAAAAAAATATATTAATTGGTGATAAAAATAGGGATAAGTTATTATGAGCAATATTAATAAATAATATGTTGAGAATATTCGTTCCAGAGTAATATTATTGGGACCTAATTCACCGTGACTTTTAAATTCACTATAAACTCTATTAAATATTAAAACTTAGTTTTAACTTAATAATTCTTATAAAATTTAATTATTATGTTAATAAATTAAATTAAAATTTTAAATTTAAATAATATTACAATCAATTTTCAACGTCATGGGGGACGGAATGACACTTGTCAAACAAAACACGCAAACATTTATTAGAGGTGCCAAAGATGAATTCATCTTTCAAACACATTTATTATAGAAAGATGAATTTATTTTAGAGTTAATGGTACTAAAAATCTTTAGTCTCTAATATTTTATTCGTGCCATATTGGTCTTTTAAGTATTAAATATATTTTTATATGATCATTCAAACAGATAATATCTAAATTTTTAATAATTTTTAATTATAAATTTGTCACATAATATCTAAATATGAACAAAAAAATAATTTGAATAACTTTTAGCTAAAATTATATTCAAATTTTGGTTAAAGAGTTACCAAAATTATACAGTTTTAATTATAAACTATCTAAATTTTTGTAAAGAGCTATCCATATTACAAATTTTTAGGAAAGAGCTATCCAAATTATTTTTTACCCATATTTTGGAATCATATGACAAATTTATAATTAAAAATTATAAATAATTTGAACATTTTCTGTTTGAGGATTATATAAAAAAATATTTAATATTTTAAGAACTAAAATGATATAATTAAAATATTAAGAATCAAAATAAAACAAATTATATTGTTTAAGGACTTCTAATACAATTAATTACTTGCCTAAGTTTCCATGACCAATTCATTGCGGGTAGGATACATGAAACATGTTGAAAGAAATTTTAGCAATGGTCAAAGAATTAACATTATGTGATAAATAATCAAATCAAATATTCTATATCCCTTCCATAGTTTGACTGCTACCAAAATTAAGAATCGAATATTAAATATATTATAATTAGATATTTTAATATCGATTTATATAGTATATATTTATATACATAAAATAATCTTGTCCTACATAACAAATATTTGTTGACCATGAAACCGAGTTAGAGTTCAGCATATTCGGATCAAGGGATATATGTTGACACGAACAACATGTCACCTGAAACACGTTTCCGTATTAAAAGCAATGTTTGTGTATAGGAAATTGCTTCTTAAATATTGTTTATTCATTTTTTTGTATTTTTATTCTAAGAAAAGTTTTGGGTAAAATATAGAATTAGTTCTCAAATCTTGCAATTTGTGTCGATTTGATCCGTAATATTTTTAATTATCAATTTAGGCAGTCAAGTTTTTAATTCATGTCATTTTGTCAAATCGAAAATAATTTAAGTTAACTAATGAACGTGTTCATATGTGTCTCACGTGATTATACGCTATTGGAGATATAACAGCAGTCTAGTTTATTAGAATTTTTTATTAAATTTTTTTTTTATCTTTTTGTCTTTATTGTAACTCCCATTGACTATATATACGGGGGCTCTACACTTAGTTTGTATCCCTTTTTTACTTACGTTTATTTCAAGTTGGTATCAGAGCCATAACCTAACCCTAACCCTAACCCTAAC